TTCCCCAGTTTCTGTGACCCCAGATAAAAAGATACAAAGTTTTTAGTTTTTCAAAAACAAAATTTTTGTTTATTGTGTCAGCAGGGAAGGGGGGGGATTACTGGAGGAAAGGCAGTGAGGAGCAAAGCAGAAGCCCCTAGTGGGGCGGCCGAGAGGACACTGTCTCTGGGCCCCCAGGGAGAAACTCTCCCTCAGGGCCTCCCAGATGCGCACAGCCCGATGAGCCTGCCGGATGGCTGCAGTGTGAGGCTGTTCAAAGGCCCTGCCGATGTGGTCAGCCTCCACCCCCCACCTTGGAAGGAATGTCTCCCCCTTCCACTCATACACATTGTGGAACACACAACACGCAGCCACCACATGGAAAGTTGTGCTCCCTGAGGTCCAGTCGGGTGAGGAGGCATCTGAAACACGTCTTCAACGGCTGCAGGCACCTTCCACAACCTTGCAGGCCCTGCTGAGCCTGGCATTATAGTGTTCCCTAGAGGGGTTGAGGTGGTCAGTGTATAGCTTCATGAGCCAAGGCAGGAGAAGGTAGGCCACATCCCCCACCGTGCAGATAGGCATGTCCACGTCCCCAAACTGGATGGTGCGGTCAGGGAAAAAAGTTCTGGCGTGCAGCTTCTGGAACATGCTCTTCCCCGACCACCTGACATAGATATCAGTGAACTGGCCCCGGTAGTCTGTGACAGCCTGCAGGACCATTTAAAAGTATCCCTTGTGGTTGATGTAGAGAGATGCCCAGTGGCTGGGGTCCCGGATGGAGATGTGGGTGCCGTCGATAGCCCCTTCCCCTCCCCCCCAGTTGGGAAAGCCCATGTCGGCAAACCCGATGGCGTTCACGTCACCAAGGCAGATGACCCTATGCAGCAGGATGGTGTTGATGGCCCTGACCACCTGGAGAAGGAGACAAACAAACAGATTCACAGGAGTGCCAGGGCCCCCGGGAGTTCCCCCACTCCACCCTCCTGGTTCCCCCCTCCCTCCCACACACACTCACCCCAATACCCGGCAGGGCTTTGTGAGGGCGGGACTGAAAAAACCTCCAGGGGAGGGGGCTTGCACCCACAACCCCCTTTCCCTAGGGAACCACACCACTCCTGGGACAATAGCCCGAGAATGCCATACCTGCATGACCAGGGCCCCGATCGTTGATCTCCCCACGCCGAACTGGTTCCCGACGGATTGGTAGCTATCCAGCATGGAGAGCTTCCAGAGGGCGATGGCAACATGCTTCTAGACGGGGGATGGCAGGTCTTACGTGAGTGTCCCATCGCCTGAGGGCAGGGCCGAGCCACACATAGAGCTCCAGAAAGGTGTCCTTCCTCATTCTGAAATTCTGGAACCATTGCTGGTCTCCCCACCACTCCATGACAATCCGATCCCACCAGTCTGCACTGATGTCCAGATGCCAGCAGTGGCAGGGGACGGGGCGCTGGGCTCGCAGAGATCTGAGAAAGGTCTCCCAGAGGAGCTGTAGGTTGGGTTCCTGCAGGGTTTGGGAGGTGGCCTACAGAAACTGCTGCATGAGTTGCAGCACAAGCAAGAGGCAGCTCTGGCTCCATATCTGGCAAGCTGAAGTGTCCAAAAGGGCAACTACAGCAGGCAGAAAAGAAGGCTTTGCTGTCCCTAGAGCAGGTAGGCAAAGAGAAAAAGCCTGAGACACTGCTGTACAGGAGGGGTCCCTTTAAGCTAAAGCCTCAGATAGCCTCACGAAATAACTGCTGACCTGATGCCCTGCCTGAACTGGTTCTGCACGGCCTTTAATTCGAGTTAGCGTCCAATCAGTGTGCACGTGCTATTTCGATGCGCATTTTGTGTGCAGATGCACTATTTCAAAATAGCTATTTCGGAAGATATCTTCCGGAATAACTTATTCTGAAATAAATTTGCAGTGTAGACGTAGCTTAGAAGGGCTGTTGCTGAAAGAGAGACTGGAGTTTGTCAAAACAGGGGGAAAAGGTACAGTGAGGAGGAGCTCAGGTAGCAGCTGGCCCTGTTACAGAATCTAAAAATGCTGCCACTCTAATTCTGTGAGGAGCAAAGACAAAGAAAAGCAACACAGGAAAATATGAACAAACAAAATCTTCCAGCTTTCTCTACTCAAGGTTTTTCCCCCTTGATGTCACCTTTAAGTGTGGCAACAATGGAATAAGATCATTTTTACATATTCATCTAAGCAATCATGCATCACAAATATGATCTCTTTAGTTTTATGCATAGACAGTATTAGACTTCAGCCAAATAAAAGGCTTACCTGAACAGAAAAAGAAAACAGCTACGTAATCTAAAATTTATAACGAAGGCATCCCACAACCTAGCTAAAGCATGGTTCCACATTACGGTGTCAGTGTTACCAAGCATCTAAGGCTGTAGCATGGTTTGTGAATGTGATTAACACATGGTTAAATTCTGTCACATTACAAGATAGAACTGTATTTTACATACCTACAACGTAAGTGATAGAGATGCAGCCGTTGTTGTAATGAAATTTTGGGCTTACAGGGCACAGCTGCTTTTAGGTTGACAGAGCATAAAATAAGATTTAGCCCCTTATAAACAGTTCACAAATATAGTGTTTAATGCAATAATAATATAACTAATGTAAAATGTAAGTGCTTTATGTTATATCATACCAGTTAAAAGAAAATAAAGGGTTTGAGTTGCCAGTGGTAAGATTCAAATCTGCAGCTCTTGTGTAGCACCTTTCATCAGTACATCTCAAAGCTCTTTAGAAATGTTTTTAATAATCATAAAGGGTAATAGTTTAAAAAAGTCTAATAATATTTTAGACATTGGTGTCACTTCAGCTTTTTCCAAAAGGAGTAGACTTTGATCACCTCTAGAGCTTCTGAATAATGACAACTTCCTTACCTTCCTGCATGAAAAACTAGCAGCGTCTGTGACAAAATTGAAAGTTATAAACAATAAGCCATTGATTTCACTCCTCACAACAAACTAATTATGCACCAGCACTTCAGGAATTCCATCCCATTGTGGTTTATGCTCAAATAAAAACACTTGAGCAACGGCAAATATGCTACTCATGAAATCCTTTGTGTAATAAAATAATTTTAATAAATGTCTGTAATTTCACTTATAGAAAGAGACTGCACATTATTAATGACCAGAATGAAAAGTAATTTTACGTATCCCAATGGGACCCTAGCCCAAAAAGAAGTTTGAAATAACGAAAACCTTAAATGTCTGATATAAAATCACAGTGAAAAGAAATTCCAAAAAGTTAGGACTTCTAAAAGGCAGACACATAAGGATCCATTCAAAAAGTAGTTTAGAATTAGGCTAAATGTGCCTATGAGTAGGAGAGCGTCTTCTTGCCTGGTTTAATACCAGATCGTTAATGTTATAACCTAACATTAGAATGACTTTCCTCAACTTTTTCTTAAATAACCCAGAATGTTTTAATTTAGGGACAAACAAGAATTTTTCTGGTTATCTAATTCAGTGTGAAGACTAAAATAAAGCTCATATACACGTTTTGTTTCCATAGTGAACTATAATTTATGGATCAAGTTGGACTACCACAAATATGCACTCACATATAACATACAAAAATGGAAAGTTGTGGACAATCTTAACTATTGGAGTTGATGTCAGTCACCTATTCTAAAAACAAAGTGATAAATAAGCTACTTTTCCATACAATAATCTCTTTAAACATAGATTTTAGAGAGACTGAAAGCAAAACAAGTGTATGTTACTGACTATAAACAGTGTCTCTCTACTCTGCAACTGCTGTAACAAGAATACCTGACCATTGGGAACGAGGGTTTTGCATGTTTTTGCTATTGTGATACTAAATTATGTTCTAGAACAATGACTAACATTATCTTAGAACCCCCCCCCGCCCCAAACCACATCCATACTGGTCAGGAAAACACTGCTGCCAAGAAAAACTAATGTTAAGTGACTCGTCTTAGGAAGAACTGATAGTCAGCAACATTTATTTTTAAATGGGAACTTTGCCTTAATTGTCACTGCATATTTAACATTCTAACACCACTAATCATGTTTAATTGCTTGTACCTACAAAAACAGGTGTGTATTTTTTTTTTCCTTAGTTTGAAAACTCAGCAATGGACAATTAAAAATACTACCTATATGAAAAAGGGAGTTGGTCTTCAAAATAAAATTTTCCATCTTATCTTACACAGCAAAATATTAAAAATATATTTTTTTCAAGGTTGGAGAGGGAGAGAAAGAATGATAATGAGCTTTTTTTCCTTGACTGAGACTATTCCTACCACTGGGACTTTGATGTGGAAATTTTAAATCCCCAAATACCATGTGAGTAAAATGCTCCAGAATTACAACATGATATCTAGAACAGCTAACTGCCCTTTTGTCAAATATATAACTCATATCAGGAACATTCATTCATTATACATGTGTGTGTGTTCTGGCAACCAGGAGACAAATGTGCTACATTATACCTTTCTTGTGAACCGCCATGACATTATCACTTTAAATCTGGATCAATTTGTAATCACCACAGGTAGAGCTTAATGTAAAATCATTCTAATTGAAGCAACAAAAATTAGCAAACCATTACCCTTCTCTTATAGAAAACAAACAAACAAAAAACAAAACAAACAAAACCACAAAAATCCCCAAACAAACCTACAAGAAATGGGAGAAACGCTGGTTGGGGATGGGATCACAGCTTTGTCTCTGATTATACTTGTGATTCACTCCTGGTTAGAACTATGATGTAGCTCACAAAAAGTGTAGTTCCTCTCAAAATGCTAGTTTGAGTTCAGTGCGTATCTCAATAAAAACAAATCAGTTTTTTTTTAATTTCTGCTATGGCACAAGTTGTGTTAATTGCACATGCCACCAAAGAGTTAATTAATCAAATCCTCTTACCATGTAAGGTCTTTAGTGAAGAACAAATCCTGAGGAATTAAGCCTTGTTTTCATAATGCATTAGAAATAGAATGGCTTTCCTTCCTCCCATCCCTGAACCAGGAGCATACACTCACCCTCTGGTTGATGGACTTCCCCTCTTTCACTTGTACTGCCAAGCCCAAATCAGACAATCTGCAGTTGCCGTTATCATCCAGGAGTACGTTTTCTGGCTTCATGTCCCTATAAAGGATTTTGATAGAGTGGAGATGCAGAATCCCACAGGTGATCTGAGCTGAATAAAAGATGATCCTGTTCATCTCCAATCCCCTCTCTCCCACATTGTAGATGTGATATTTAAGATCCCCTCCATTCATGAGGCTCATAACAAGACACAGGTGGCTCTTGCTCTCATAGGCATAGGCGAGGGTGACTATGAAAGGGCTATTAACTTTCTCCAGGATTTCCTTTTCTAACAGAGCCATCTTCTCCCCACCTTTCTTCTTCAGTCTTTTCTTATCCAGTTTCTTGCATGCATACATCTTGCCGGTGTTTTTCACCTGAATGGCACAAACCTAGAGGATCAAGATAAAAAGAGAAAGGAAGGGGCTTTACAGATGTAGATTGGAGGTGAATTATCAGCAGTGGTGCATGGGAACTAAGGAAGCAAGATACACGTGGCTGTCATTTCAGAGGGCATTCCTAATGATCATATTGACAGAGTACTGGATGGGAATATAATAGGAGGAGGAGGCTGGCCCTTTCTGCTTGGGGTATGTGTTAGGGCTGTCTTATTCTAGATCAAAGCTCTTGAGACGCCCATGGAGTTTTCAGAAGTTCCCTGTCATGACCAGCATGTGGATTCTCTGGGGGCAGTAATGTGGAAAAGGGGTTACATCACATTAGTTTGTTAGTTTGCCCAGGTCTCTGACATCTGCCTAGTCTATTGCAGGCTCCTTTTTGCATTGCCCATACCTACCCATTAGCCCAGGGAGGGAAGGGATGGCAGTTCCCCTACCTCTCCAAAGCCACCTTTACCAAGCACCCGAAACTCGTAGAAGTACTTTTCATTCACTGGCTGCTTCTCAAAGACTTTCCACTGCAGAAACTTGTCATAGAAGGGGGTTTTCTGGAAGTCCTGGAAGGGCTTCTCCTGAAGGAAGGCCTTTGTCTCCTCCTTTGCCAGCTGCGTGATACTCTCATAGTCCTTCTCAGTGGCTGCCTGGCACTTGCTGGACAGGCCTGAGCTTATGAAGGCTAGGTAGTCCTTGGAGCCAGACTTTAGGAAGTTGGTGACCAAGCTCTGCAGGATGCTGCTTTTGGCATTGTCCTCCGCCAGCTCCCAGTTGGACACCTCATCCAGAAAGTTCTTGGCCACGAGGTATTCAGGCATGGTCTCTAAGAAATCCCTGAAGAACCTTTTGCCAATGGGCTGCTGCTCACAGACGCTTTCATACTCAGCGGGGAGGGCCTCTCTGACCTCTGTACACTGCTCAGGCTTGGGCAGTGACAGGCTCTTTCGCCTCCTCTGCATCTCCTTGGTGTCCCCATCCGTGCTCTTCCTGGCCTGCAGGTATGCTGTGTTGGCAATCAGGTTGTCCAGGCCCCCCATGTCACACATCCTGGCAAGTTCTCGGGGTGACAAAGCCTGACTGGAGCAAAGTCACTCACTGGTCCTGGGCCTGTCCTGCACTTCTCCTTACCTGCGTGTGTATGGATTTCAGCGAGACACTGAGGAGACTAGCTTCTTTAGCATTAAATACCTCTCAAGGATTTTCACTAAGTACCTTTAGGTGTATGTGCCATTTGTGGAAAGTGACTGGTAAGAGGTTTCTCTGTAAGGAGCTTTTGGGTTGCTATTTGAATAGGCGCAGCTTGGCTGATGACCCTCAGCACAGACCTTTTCCTGCCCTTAAATGTGCCAGGATTCCCAACCACACCCACTGTCCATGGCCCTGGGACCCTTGGGTATACAAAAATTCCGCATCCACCCACTGTCCATGGGCTTTTTATCCTCTGAATCCTTGCCTTGGACAGACAGACATACCCTCATGCTACTTTGCCATTTGGAATGGGGCCAAAATCCCACTAGTCCCACATATCCACTATTCATGGCACCCTGATCCTGGGGGTACATAAAATCTCCTTGACTTCTTTCCATTGTATTCTGAGCTTTGGGGTACTGGAAATTAAATGAAAACATATGTAAAATAAAAGAAAAGCTGTTACAAGATGCAAAAGCCATTCAAACGTCAAACCTATCCTTGAAACAGAAGTCAGAAGAGAGTAACAACAGAAAAAGCACTGGAAATGTTTGGAGTTGTTTAATAATCACTCAGTTTGATCAATAAGCACCATATCCTTAAACTTACACCAAGAGAAATACCCACGCTTGTGAGCTGCACATATACAGTGCATACATTTCAGTGCTGTCATATGCTGCTCCCTCTACAGGAGCAGAAATTGGATTAGATGAACAGGCTAAGAACTGCTGCTGTTCTAAAAATAACGATCCCACCCTGTGAACAACCAGAACAACGTAGAATCCTAGTCACCCTCACACATAGCAAAGAGGAAACAATCTGAACTTAAGACACAAGCAATTCCCATAATATACACTTAAAAATATCCTCCTCACACCAGTCCCCCCAAACAAAAACAAACAAACCCATACCCTACATTGAAAACTACTGTCCAAATTTTCTGAATCCTGAAAATGTCACTTAGACAAAAGAGTCCTCAGCACAGATCCCAGGAGTGTCTAATCCCTATTTACTTTAGCTCTTGGTAATTCAGAGATGTATTATTATTTAAGGTAAATATTCAAGTACTAAAAACTAAGTTTCTAGCAACAGTGAAACAATTCCTCTTGTACAAAGAGAGATTCTGGTAATCCTTGTTTCTGCCATTGTTCTATACATACTACTTATCTAAAACAGCAATTTTAAATGAAAATGGTCAGAATTTACCAATAAAAGCCATTTTTATAATTGCCATCGCTAAAGGTTAATACATTAAGTATTTTCTTAATGTGAATTGGTTTGCCACTCTCAGATTTTTATATATTATGTTCTTTAATGGTATAAAATGATTTTTTAAAAATGTGCACATTAATCTTACCAGAACTTTGCTGAAAGGCAATACAGAGCAAATTGCTTCCTGTATCTTACATCTTTTAAATGAAACAGACAGCTTAAAATGTTCACTTGCAATTATAAATCAACTGTAAGAATCAAGTTCATTCTCATTGGTTACCAATGTAATTTATAAAGTAGTTGAACAATGAGAAATAGCACAGGAAGATCTCAGAAGAATAAGAAACGTCCTCCTTTGCCAAAAGAAACTTCCACCTGAAAGTCTTGTTTTTACTCATATTGTTAATAACAGATTTAAACCTTGAAATTACAGGTGCTCAATATTAAAGATAGTGAAACTGGCCACATTACTCACTCCTCCTGAGCCATGCCTTAAGACAAATGCTTCAAAATTACACTACATTTAACCACTAAGCACAACTTGTTTTAATGATAGAAGCAGAATTCCAGAATATGTTGACCCTATAACAGGTGTCATTAACCTCTCGCTAAATTACCAATGCAAATACAGTAAACTTCCGATAATCCGGCACCTTTAGGACCCAGGGGGTGCTGGATTATCAAATATGCCGGACTATCGGAAGGGGGGCTATGAGGGGTCTGGGGTGGGGGGGATGCCACCCCAGACCCCTCATAGCCCCCCTTCCGATAGTCCGGCATATTTGATAATCCAGCACCCCCTGGGTCCTAAAGGTGCCGGATTATCGGAAGTTTACTGTATTTGCATTGGTAATTTAGCGAAGAGCAGCTGGGGGGCTGCTGGGTTGGTCCCACAGTGCCGCTCCTCGGCGCTACTGGACCAACCCGTCAGCACCCCAGCTGCTCTGCCCTAGGTGTTCCCAAGTCAGCCGCTGCTGATACTGATCTGCGGCTGACTCCAGGAAGTCCGGGGTAGAGCAGCTCTGCCTCTGGCTTCCTGGAGTCAGATGCTGGTCAATTTCAGCAGCTGCTGAATCGGGGACAGCTGGGGTGCTGCCGGGTTGGTCCCGCAGCTCCGAGGGGCAGCGCTACGGGACCTACCCGGCGGCACTCCAGCTGCTCTGCCCTAGGCGTTCCCGATTCAGCCACTGGTCAGTTTTAGCAGCAGCTGAATCGGGGAAGCTGGGGGCAGAGCAGCTCCAATGGTCTAGCTGCCTGGAGCATTTCCGGGTTCCTGATGGTGCCGGACCATCAGGAGTGCCGGACCATCAGATACTGGACCATCGGAGTTTTACTGTATTAGCATTTCTGCTGTTTCTGTGTGAAGGCAGAAGCAGATCAAAGAAACACCTATATTTTTATGGTGTTCCCCTTGCCCCTGGTGTTTAGGAATATTTCTTAAGCAATTGCTGTCAACTTCTGCAGAATGTATACTTTCCTTAAAAAGTTTCTAACTTTCATTGTTATGACAATAACTTTTTATAATTGTACCAAGATTAACCAGTGCAGTCTTCCTAAAATTGCAGACACATAGATGCACTACTGCTAGTGAGATTGATCTGGGTGCTACTACTGTAAGGCATGTGAGAGGTCTATGTCCAGTATAAAGAGGACAGTTTTTTGGTGGGAGAAGTTGACTCATATTTAGCTTGTGATCCACTGTGACTCCCTGATCCCTTTCTGCACTACTCCCTCCTAGGCATTCATTTCCCAGTTTGTATGTGCACAAGATTGTCCAGATCATTTTGAATTTTAATCCTATGCTCCAAAGCACTTGCAACTCTTTCCAGCTTGGTATCATCCACAAATTGTTAATGAAGTTATTGAACAGAACTATACCCAGAAGTGACCCCTGTGGGACCCCTCATTATTCTCTTCCAGCAAGACTGTGGACCATTTACAACTACTCTCTGGGAATGGTTATCCAGCCAGTTTTGCACCCATCTTATAGTAGCTCCATCTCAATTGCATTTCCCTAGTTTGTTTATGAGGTGATGAAAGACAGAATCAATATCTTAACTAGAATCAAGCTGTATGTCTACTGCTTTTCTATCAACAAGATTTGTCACCCTGTCAAAGAAAGATATCAGATTGGTTTGACATGATTTGTTCTTGACAAACACATGATATTTCTTATCACCTTATTATCTTCTAGATCCAGGGCAGGCAAGATCCAGCCTGCCCTGCCAGGACCCTTTGCCAGTGGGAGTTGCTATGACTGGGCTGGGGGTGGAGCAGCACACAAAGTCCTTCCCCTCCCTGGCACATGGAGAGAGCAGCTAGCCAGTTTGAACCTGTGGCTGCGGCAGGCAGGGAGTCTGCCTGAGGGTCCCACTGGGCTGCTGGCTGGGAGCTGCCTAGGTAATCACCTTCCAGTCAGAGCCTGAACCTGGCACTCACCCCCCTCCTACTTCCTAAATCCCTGCCCAAGGTCACCACTCCCTCCTACCCCTGTCATGACCCAAACCCTTTGCAGCCTCCTCCAGCAGGCCACAACTCCCTCCCAGACCCTGAATCCTCTCCTGCACCCATACCCCGACTTCATCCTGTCACCACAGAAGTCCTCTTAGGATTGTTCCCCAGTGTGCTGATCATGCCACTGAGAACAACCTTCTCGCTCTCTGGGGCTCTTCTCCATCCTTCCCTGCTGGGCCAGATCCTTTGGACTCTCCTAGATAAGGGACAGAGTTGGGGTAACTCCCCCTCTCCCTGCAGAGCAATGCAGACACTGAACCACTTCAGCTCTGGGAGGATGCAGTTCTAGGGCACAGCACCCAGGAAACCAGCCCCCAAATGAGACCAATCCCCCCCAAATAAATCCGTCTTTTTTATGTGTAAAAATTTTATATAGTAAAAACTCACTCAGGTAAGCTCCCCTTTATCAATGAAAGGGAGATAGGCAGGTATGAACAGTAGCATTTAGTGGGTTGCAAGAGAAAACAGACAGATCAAAGTTACTAAATTAAAGTGAATAGAAAATGCATAGCTAGTTCTAATCCACTAAGAAACACTGCATGCAGATTCTTACCCTAAAGAGCTCTTCTTCTTTTAGACATAATCTTCAAGTCAGAGACAAACTCTTTTTTTCTGACTTGGGTCTCCAGCCCTCTTTGTATCCTTTTAGTGTCCCAGGCTGGTTTTCCTGGCCAGCTGAAGACAAAGGGCTGATAGTTTCCCACTGTTTAACTACCTTTCCCCAGCACTGGAACACTGCATGCAGATTCTTACCCTAAAGAGCTCTTCTTCTTTTAGACATAATCTTCAAGTCAGAGACAAACTCTTTTTTTCTGACTTGGGTCTCCAGCCCTCTTTGTATCCTTTTAGTGTCCCAGGCTGGTTTTCCTGGCCAGCTGAAGACAAAGGGCTGATAGTTTCCCACTGTTTAACTACCTTTCCCCAGCACTGGAATC